TCCCTTTGCGAGGGTCTCTCCGAACTTTTTCAACAATACAGATTCGATCTCATCATCTTCCAAATCATTGCCTTTGATGGCACATGTGTAGGAGGTGAGATGTTCGTTAGGATCGGTCGTACCGTTATATTTGGATATTATGGGCATACAGAACTTTTTTGGGATTGGTTTCGGGGCCGCGCTCGATGGAAAAGGTTTTTGTACGAACTTCTTCGAATCCAGCCCTTTCATCATTGGCGGAGCCCCCGGGATCTGATCGATCCTAGCCTCATATGTTTCGAATTTTTTGTCGTTGGCTTCGACTCGTCTTGTGAGTTCCTCGAGCACTTTAGCAATTTCAGGAGTGGTTCCCGATTCTCGCTTGTTTGATTTTATTGTGTCGGGCTCCATTCTGGGGGTTACTTCTCGAAGAAGTGGGTTGGAGTTTGGCTTACTTTGCATGTGAGTTTGGCTCTGCAACTGAGCTATCGCTACTTGTTGGGCTTGTAGCATTTCGAAAATCATACGTAAGCTGACCCCGATTTCCCCCGTGTTGTGGGTGTCTCAGGCTATGGGTCGAGCGGCACCCTGAACGCTTCTTTCATGCTCAGAACGCTGATTCACCTCTAGAGCTATTCGTGAATTTATATCTATTGGTCCTCCGGCTTGAATTTCAGGTTCTTCAATTCGAGCCTCGTTACCGTTGTTGGATAACCTTTTGGCTCCGGGTACCAAGTTGTTGGTTTCATCCTGAAGGCCGGCTTTGAGGTCGACTGGCAGAGCCATTGTTAGTATGAAGTTGTAAGTTAGAGTGTACTGTATATTTGTGTCAAATAATCACTGTTATCCTTAGCCCCACGGTGGGCGCCAAACTGTTTACCCGAAAAATCGAATAACGTTGAATTTATGTATGGTTCTAAGGATAGGCGGATTCTTTTGAACTAAAGATAACAATACACGTGTTTGATATATGAAATAGAAATAAAGAAAAGAGATCCTTGTGAGCTTTTGAAAGATAAACACAACAAAGTTCTTGATATTATGGTCGAGCTGCCTCTATTACAAATCTATCTTGCCTTTTATAGGCAAGGGTCACTACTTTATCTATAATAACATAATAGGATTATATTACTAGTGGAGTACCCATGATGGTATGTCTCCTCCCTAATTTCTGCCAAGATTCTCTCCCTTGGTGTGGTTATAACAACCTTTTGTCTGCGAGCTCGATACTGACCCGAGATCGATGGCGGATCGAAACCTCGAGCTTGGTTAGAGCATGATGATCACCTTCGAGCATCGATGTTCGGGACCCGTGTCGTTCGATGTGGCCTCGTACGGTTCGGACGACCTGACGCTCGACGCCTCTAATCTCGAAATTAGCTCGAGCTCTCTATGTATATACCCTCCGTGAGATGCTATCATCGATCACTCTTTATGATCGAGATAAGGTTTTGACCGTATACACCATCCATGACATTTGCCTATAGCTTACTACACATTATTGTTTATCTTAACTTATAAGAAGCTTTTATCCAAGCGAGAAAGGAAAAAGAAAGAAAACTAAAAGAAATAAACAGAACTCAGGATATGTTGCAATTTAATGACACAGTAATTACCTTTTTAGCAATCTGATTATAAACCTCATTAGAAAAAAATGACAAAGAAGAAAGTCATTTAGCATTGAAACAGTATTTTAAAAGGTGTGGGTGTAAGGCGAAACGTTTTACATATGCCTCAGCGAGGCGTAAGTCCCGAGGTACGGGGTGTAAGCCTCATGGTTATTTAATTTTTTTATATCTCATAAAATAAGACAAGAGTGAGTTGCTCTAGTGGTGAATACCCTCCACTTTCAACCAAGAGGTTGTGAGTTCGAGTAACCAAGAGGTTGTGAGTTCGAGTCACTCCAAGAGCAAGGTGGGGAGTTCTAGGAGGGAGGGAGCCGAGGGTATATTGGAAACAACCTCTCTACCCCAGAGTAGGGGTAATGTATGCATACATACTACCTTCCCCAGACCCCGCTAGTGGGATTATACTGGGTTGTTGTTGTTGTTGTTGTTGTTGTTGTTGTTGTATATCTCATAAAATAATATAATTACAATAAATAATTTTAAACAGGTAAGGTACATGCATATGGTGTTCATCGATTTAGAAAAAGCTTACGATAAAGTCCCAAATGAGGTTTTATGGAGATGTATAGAGGTTAGTGGTGTTCCTATAGCGTACATTAGGATGATTAAGGATTTGTACGATGGAGCGAAGACTCGGGTGAGGACTGTGGGAGGAGACTCAGACTATTTTCCTGGGGTTACATCAGGGTTCAGCTCTTAGCCCATTTTTATTTTCCCTGGCGATGGACGTGCTGACGCGCCACATTCAGGGGATGTGTCATAGTGTATGTTATTTGCAGATGACGTAGCGCTAATCGATGAGACACATTGCGGGGTTAACGATCGACTGAAGCTGTGGAGGCAAATTCTAGAGTCGAAAGGTTTCAAGTTGAGTAGGACAAAAACTGAATACATTGAGTGCAAGTTCAGTGTGGGGACGCAGGAAACAGAAGTGGAGGTGAAGCTTGATACACAAGTCGTCCCCAAGAGAGATAGTTTCAAATATCTTGGGTCTGTTATTCAGGGGAACGAGGATATTGACGAGGATGTTACACATCGTGTTGGAGTGGGGTGGATGAAATGGAGGCTTGCGTCTGGTCGTGTGATAGGAATGTGCCACCAAGTCTTAAGGACAAGTTCTACAAAGTGGTAGTTAGACTGACTATGTTGTATGGAGTCGAGCGTTGGCCAGTCAAGAAATCTCATGTACAGAAGATGAAAGTAGCAGAGATGAGGATGTTGAGATGGATGTGTGGGCATACCAGGAATGATCGGATTATGAATGAAGTTATTAGGGACAAGGTGGGTGTGGCCACCGTGGAAGACAAGTTGCGGGAATCGAGGGTGGGGTGGTTCGGGCATGTGAAGAGGAGAGACATCGATGTCCCAGTGAGGAGATGCGAGAGGTTGACCATAGCGGGTCAGAGGAGAGGTAGAGGGAGACATAGGAAGTAATGGGGAGAGGTGATTAGGCAGGACATGGCTCTTACTTCAGCTTACCGATGACATGACCCTTGATAGGGAGGTGTGGAGGTCGAGGATTAGGGTTGTGGGTTGATAAGTAGTCGAGAGTCTCTTCTATCGTATTAGTAGTATTAGACGATGATGTGGCATTATTCCGAGTTCCTTGCTGATTAGACGATGTGGCATTATTACCGGTAGTTTTCGCACTTCTCTTATAGCTTTGTATTCCTAGTTCTCTGCTATTACATGATGTGCTATTTGTTTCTTTTATCTTATTTCCTTGCCATTGTTAATGTTGGTTTATTGTGTCTTTGTCATTGTTCTTGAGCCGAGGGTCTATCGGAAACAGTCTCTCTTCCTTCATAAGGTAGGGGTAAGGTCTGCGTACACACTACCCTCCCCAAATACGACATGTGGGATTGCACTGGGTTTGTTGTTGTTGTTTAGGTAAAATTACATAAAATTTGAAGAAAACTATAAATAAGTGAAACATATATATAGGTATGCTCCATCACCACCAAAACCTAGTCAAAACAATCCATTATATGCTACTTACAAGCACAAATAACTTGAGTTGAAAAGAATAAAATTTTCAACTATAAATAAGTGAAACATATATATATAGATATGCTCCATCACCACCAAAACCTAGTCAAAACTATATACATATATAGTTGAATCAAACTATAAATAAGTGAAACATATATATATATATAGATATATATATGCTCCATCACCACAAAAACTTAGTCAAAATAATCTATTATACGCTACTTACAAGCACAACTAATCCGAGTTGAAAATAATAAAGTTTTCTACATGGAGGAACAAAAAGGACGACTAACCTTCGATTTGAATTTTGAACTTGCTACTATGGAAGAGAATGAAGTTTTCTTTGTATTTGCCAAAAAGAATTGACTATTCGTTGCTTTTGGGAAATAGCAGCACCCTAGCGAACAAGATAAAGATTTGGGGAAAACCGTAAATTAGAGCTTCTAGCAATAAAAAAAAGGTATTGAGTTTTAAATTTAATGTTTCAATTCTTTTTTTAATTTTTTGAGTAATTACAAGCCGATTTTTGAGAATTTGGGTATTATATTAAGAATTTATTCAACAAATTTTGTTTTAATTTGAAAATGTCTCTTGGGCTTACGCCTCACTATAAAAACGCGGCTCAATGCCCGGACGTATGCCCCGAATTGTTTGGCGTACGCCTCTAAAGAGACTTTCTCCCCACCATCGCTTCGAAGCATTTTTGGTGTGCTTCGCCTTAAGGCTTGCCCCGAAAACGCCTTTTTGACACAATTGCTAGCACCAACTTATTGTATCTTCCTCTCATGTTAATCGAATCAGACTTTCAAAGAGTTGGTCGTATCTCATTTATTGATGTAATAACATAAACTAATCTGCTCCAACTTGACAGCGTCTGTCGATTTGACACCCCTACTCCAGTTTATTAGGCCGCTTCCCCATTGCATAAGATACTTAATTGTGAAGGTTCATTACAATCAGTGTTGTCAAGGGGCGGCGAAAAGCGCAGAAAAGGTTTAAGGTCTGTTAGGACTTTAATGAAAAAAAACGCAAACCGGAGAATAAGTAAAAATATGTATATGTAATCCAAGACCAATGATTACAAGCACGAATAACAAATATATAGACAAAACAATTGGAAAATAATTACGATAAAATGAAATATCAATTGTTTAGGGTTGCTCCTTTTCAGGATTACACTCGTTGGCAAGGAAAAATATGCCTTAGAGCCTTGATGCGACACTGAAGCGCTCCCAGAGCTAGGCGAAGCGCTCAACATGGATGGTAAGGACAATATTTTTATTTTGGTTACAAATGGATTAATGTTACTAATCCGACCAAAGTTGCACCGGGGAGAGAAGTCATTTTTTGTTTAAAGAAAAAATAATTGCATTTATGGAATTGGAGGAAACAGGCAGAGAGATAGAAGCGTTTCACTGTATTAACAAAAACAACTGATATCATGCCTGTTACAAGCAACATATAGTTACTCATGTTGCATTGACTTCAGAAAACATGGAAACCATAGCTACAAATGAGAAAAAGAGTAAAAGACTAGCGTTCCTAGTCCCGGATCTAAACTATTTTCATTGTATGATACCATCAGTCATCAAAACAGACGCACTCTCAATTCCCATGTCAAGGAAACAGACTATCCATTCCATGTCATGCAAATTTAACTTCAATAGTTTTGCGTTTCTTTAGCCGAGGAGTAAGCAACTTCTCAACAGTCACAGTCAGAATCCCATCTTGACAAACAGCAGAAATTGCATCAGTATTAATATTCTCTGGCAGTGTAAACTTCCTCATGAACTTCCCAACCCTTCTCTCCATTTTAATATACTTTCCCCCTTCTTTCTCTTCTTCCCTCTTCCTTTCTCCACTTATCAGCAGCACATTGTCATCTTCCACCTGCACCTTTATATCTCCAGATTTCAACCCGGGCGTATCCACAATTAAAACATAGGAATTTGGGTACTCTTTCATGTCCGCTGGTGTTGCAGCCATGGCCTTAGCGTCACATGCACAGTCTCTTGCTGGGGCATTGATGGACTTGTCCGAGTCGTCACAGGCGGAATCCATGAGGTGCTGGAGAGTGTGGAAGAGCGGCAATCCATAATGCAAGAGAAGTTTTGCAACATCAACTGAGGCTTCCGAACGCATTCGTTGCTCACTTTTTAACTTCTCGGATTGCTTGTCAAAAGCAGCTTGGATTGATTGATGATGATTTGACAAACCTAGCATCTTATTGAAACATTTATGATGGACACTATTAGCCTCACCAGCATGCAAACGCAATCTTTCAAGAGCCTTATTCCAAGTCCTAAAACCAATTTTTGAAAAAACTTCACCCGCACTTCCATGAATGAACTCATGTTTGAACAAATAACAACATAGACAATATGCAGCATCTTTCTTCACACTATACTCCAACCATCCAGAAAATGGACCTTCGAACCAACTTGAATTAAATTGACGCATTTTATTCCCAATTTTAGTTTTAGGAAATTGATGCTTGGAAGGTTGACAAGGACCTTTATGAATGTAGTGTTTTCTCACTTCTTCTCGTATTCGAGGGCTATAGTTAACGAGGGGCATTCTCTCTCCTGGATCATCTTTAAGTGACTCCAAATTGAGTTCATCTATAAGATGGGAAAGATTGGCATTCATACGAATTTCTGGAGCTATCGTCGGACTCAGGGATGGACAACTAGAACTAGAACTTGGTTGAGAATGATCCAACTTCTTGAGAAATATATCCATCACAATTTACAAGAATTATGAACACTTCCTACAATACAAAAGTTCAATCCAATTCAATATAGTAACCCAAAACTAAAATATTGGAGTATGTATTTCGTACAAGAAAAGCGGGCTTGCTATAGATGCATATTTAGATACTCAAAACAAAGACTTACAATAATAAGCATTCTTGAAGATTGAAACAGAATCAATTTTTTTTTAATAACTAGAAGTTAAATGTTAGTATAAATTAACATGGTAGTGAATGAGTACAGCCATTACAAACTAAGAATTCTGTACCGGCCATCCTTGTTCATAATGGTTGGGGAGTTCTCTCCAAACTACTAGGTCAAGGGTTCAAGGTTGGTAGACAATCTCCAAAAAAAAAAAAACTAAGAATTCTGTAAAACTGAAAGGATTCCAGAAACTCTAAGATTACATCAGTGTCATTCCCAAAATCAGTATTATATTAGGTTTTAATTTTCCTTCTACAGAAAAGAAATGAATTTCCCATCCTAGAATGATTAAAACAGTAACTTATTGAAGAATTTCTATTTTCTAGGTTTATGCAAATAGATTTACTAGAGCTGTTCTTCTAGAAAAACAAAATTAGTTGTCCGTCATCTATTGGAAAATGATACTGAATAAAAGATAGAAACAAAATAGTGCAGAGTTAAAATGGGAGCAGAAATTTGAAAAGAAGAGAAATGTAATAGGGCTAGCTTGATGATTTCAGAGAGAGACTCACAATTACGGAGTCAGCAAGTCGGTGATGCCAGAAATAGAATCTCTGCGCAGCGGCACTTCGACGGAGAGAGATTGACAGTGAACGGCACTGGTGGCGGCGGCGGAGGGTGGCGCAGCGCAGCAGGGGAGTCTCTTTTGAGAAGGAAACTATAGGGAGTATATTTTATGTTTAATGTTGGCAAATATGTATACACCTCCCCTTAAACTTCGTCTCAATTTCCATTTAGACAGTTAAACTAACGGCATACCTATTAAACCTCTAACTCAAACAAAAGTGTATCTATTAAACACAAATATGCCATGAGCTGCACCTAAATGAGGCGCGTGAAATAATGTTCATCATTTCTTTTGGTTTTTTTTATTTGTTTTAAAACATTTCTTTTCCCCCGCATATACAATAAGCACCAACACTCACCATGTAACCATCAGACCACCGCCACTCTTTATCCATTACCGCCACCATTGACCATCATTCCCTAAAGATCAATCAGCCACAAACATGTGACATCATATTAAAAAAAAAACACCGTCTTCTTCCTCACCATATTCTACCACCACTCACCATAGTTCAAAGTAAAAAATTTAAAGTCCAAATGCTAGAATTTGAGAATCTTAGAATCTTCAAAATTAACCTGATTTATCCCAAAAATCAGAGGCAAAACCACTACAATATTAAAAAAAACAGAGAGAAACCCAGAAAGAAAAACCAACAATTTCACCTACTAAGAAATCAAAATGGATTCTTCACATCAAAATCAAGTAATTTCAAAAGTGATGAGGCATAATTTCGTCAATCACAGCAGGCCCGGCGAAATCGAAAAAAAAACTTGGAAGCTCCAAAACAATACTGAGCGACGAAGTCAAGCCAACCATTATTCCTCCAATGAGGACTTGAAACGAAAAAAAATCGATTTATCTTCCAATATTTTCTCGTTTTCTCCTTAAAGATAAAACAATCAAATATTTATCGACTTGCGGTGGTGTCACAACGGTGAATATAACAGGTTGTGAATTTTCTTGTTATTTTGGGTGACCATGAAATTGGGTAGATATTAAAGATGGATTGCAGAAGAAATGGAGGACTTTAGAAATTGGGGGATAATAAGTGAAGTGGAATCTTAACATATTAGTTAGTTGACTGTGAAGTATTTGATATAATACTTTTTTGGGAGAAAGAAGATGACGAAAGGTGGAGAGAGATCAGGGAAGAAGACAGGCGGGGCGGGGGTGGTTACTGGGAGAAAAAAATAATGTTTGTATCTATTTTTCTTTTTTCTTTTTTTCTTTTGCTGACTTGTCATTTTCTTATTGGTCTTATTAGCAGGGTCAGCAGCAAGTAGCATCCACACACTTATATATGTTTAGAGTTGTCAAATGTGTGTTTAATAGGCACATATGGGATGAAATTGAAGTGTTTAATAGGTACTGACCCTAGTTGAAGTATCTAAATAGAAATTAGAGCCAAGTTTAAGGGGTTGTCTAGGTATTTGGCCTTTAATGTTTAATGAATAAGAAAAAATTGTCAGCTACTTAGCACTAAAAAGTCAGAATTAATAAAGAAAAGATTTAAGTTAAAATGCACTAAAATGTTTACATAATCATACTGTTGATTTTAGAGAGAGAATTTCTGACTGCCTCACTTATATATTTCTAGCTAACCCACGTGTTTAATGAAAAGGAAATTACATAATTAACTTATTCTATAAGCTACTCAAACTATGTGATACAACTGTAGATCATTGACAACCCATGTGAGAAATAAGACGAGTCTGATGAAGGCCTAATATGGGTCTTTACCTGCATAGCCCAATAGATTCATTTGACTCATTTGGTCTTAGTCATTGGAAAGAAAACTCTAACACCTCTTCATTCTTTTCATTCTGTGACTTAACCTGGGTTCGATGAAGTGTCACTGGCAACACCCCCTCAAGTTGGAAAGGGCGGAGAGAACACCCAACTTGCTTAATAGACCACGATGAAGAGGGGCTTGGTAAAGATATCAGCGAGCTGGTGGTGAGAAGGAAGAAAAGAAAGAGAGATGAGACAAGCTTGGAACTGTTGCCAGATGAAATGGCAGTCAAGCTCCACATGTTTGATACGCTCGTGAAAGACGGGGTTTTTTAGAGATGTGGATAGTAGCCTAATTGTCCGAGTGGAGAGGTACCGACAAAGAAGGAACGACAGAAAGATCATCGAGAAGACGAACGAGCCAAGTCAGGTCGGCAACAACACGCCTTATTGACCGGTACTCGGCCTCAATAAAAGACAAAGAGACGGAAGGCTATTTCTTGGATTTACAAGAAACATGACATCCCCCCAAACTAATGAAAAACCCATTAACTGAATGACGACTATCAAAGCAGGAACCCAATCAGAGTCGCAGAAAGCGAGCAAGTCAAGAGAAGGATCATCGGACATGAAAATGCCCAAACTAGGATCACGAAGAAGGTAGCGAAGGCAATGATGAGTTGCAGAGAAATGAGACTCACGAGGATCCTGCATGAATTAACTAAGATGTTGAATGACAAAGGAGATGTCAGGACAGGTATGGGTCAGAAAATTGAGTTTCCCCAATAAATGACGATAGAGCAAAGGGTTAGAAAGAGGGGCACCAACCCCTGCATACAACTTGGAAAAAGGATCCAAAGGAGAAGAAGCAGGAGACAGACCAAGGAAATCAAACTCAGTAAAAAGTTCAAGGGTGAACTTGCGTTGACATAGAATCAGTCCAGAAGGCTCATGGAACACTTCCATGCCCAAAAAATAAGATAAGTTCCCAAAGTCTTTTATCTTAAAAAATTGATCTAGAAACTGTTTTAATTCATTGAGCTCCTGAATATTGTTGCATGTGAGTAATATATCGTTCACATAAACATCCACCAAAGAAACAAAATCACCATTCTTTTTGTAGAAGAGAGAGTAGTCGTTTAAGGAGTGAGTAAAGCCCTTGAAATTAAGGGCAGGAGTCAAGCGGGCATACCATTTCCTAGAGGCTTGACGAAGCCCATAAAGAGACTTCTTTAAGCGACAAACCAAATTAGGAGTTGGGGGGTCTAGACCAGTGGGAAATTTCATATAAACCTCTTCGTATATATCCTCATGTATAAAAACGTTGTTCACATCAAATTGATAAAGACCTCAATTTTTCTTTACTGCAATAGCAAGTATACACCTAATAGTGGTCATTTTGACCACATGGGAGAAGGTCTTTGTAAAATCAATCCCTTCTCGTTGAGTGTCTCCTCGAATAACCAAACGAGCCTTAAGCATTTCCACACTTCTATCAGATCTTAGCTTAACATTGTAGACCACTTACAGGGTAGTGCTTTCCCCCCAACTGGTAATGGAATAATTTCCCAAGTATTATTGTCCTTCAAGGTATCAAGTTCTTTGGCTATTGCTTCTTGCCAACCACGGTCTAACGCTGCCTGGGAGTAGCTAGAAGGCTCATCTACATGAGGTAGGGAGTTTAAAAAGCTTTGGTTAGGATTAGAAAGTGCAGTAGGAGAAATAGTAGAAGGGGAGACATGTGAGAGGAAACAGGATGTAGAGACATCAGTTAACTATACTGCTCCACAAATATAGTTAGAAAAATAGACATATGCATTGTGCTCTCTCAAAGACCTGCGCAAAGCATTAGTAGAAGCACCGGGTGAATGATCAGGAATAAAAGTAGGAGAAGAATTAGATGTAGTAGATGATATAGGAAGAGAAGTAGATGAGGTAGAAGGGGTAGAAGATGCTATAGATAAAGGGCTAGGGGAAGGACTAGAGGGATGTGAAGGAAGGGAAACAGGAGGTGAAACAGAAACAGAAGACTCAACAGAAGGAGCAATATGGGATGTGGAAGGAGCAACAAGAATAGAAGGAGAAGAGGGAGTAGGAGAAGGTGAGGAATCAGTAGGTGAATGAGTTGGAGATGTAGAGAAATCAATGGTGGAAAAGATAGGAAATAAAGGAGAGAAATTAGTGCGAAGACTTGTAAAAGGAAAAATATACTCATGAAAAATCACATTCCTGGAAACAAAAATTTCTCTACTCTATAAGTTTAACAACATGTATCCTTTGTTTCCAGTAGGGTAGCCAAGAAATACACAAGTAACTGCCCTGGGATCAAGTTTGCCTCTAAGATGAGGCAAAGTGGAAGCAAAACATAAACAACCAAAATACCTAAGGAAGTGTAATAAAGTGCTTTGTGAAAAAGGACTTCATAAGGGGATTTATAGCGAAGAAGCTTAGTCGGAAAGTGGCAGTAAGGAGACATTCCCCCCAATAAAAAATAGGCACTTTAGAATGAAAAAGAATGGCCCTACAAGTTTCCATCAAATGCTTGTATTTTCTTTCGACAATACCATTTTGTTGAGGAGTACCAACACAGATGGTTTGGTGAAGAATTCCTTTTGAAGAGAAGTAGGCTATGGCAGCAATATTGCTACCTAATTCAAAAGCATTATCAAACCTAATTATCTTGACTTTGACTTCAAATTGTCTTTCTACCATATATATGAAAGATTTGAGGATAGTGAAAGCATTACTCTTGGTCCTCCACAAATAGGTCCAAGTACCCCTAATAAAATCATCAATAATTATAAGGAAATATTTAAAACCATTATGGGTAGGTACCTTATAAGGACCCCCAGGTATCAATATGGATGAGTTCAAAAATGTGAGAAGTAGAACTGTTGCTATCAGAAAAAGACAATGTGTGTTGTCTAGCCATAGGGCAAATAGAACGCGGAATATCTTCTTTACAAATAACAGTTTATGGTAAAACAGAAATGTATCTCATGGTAGAAATGGGTAAATGTCCCAACCTTACATGTCACATATTGTTACCAAAACTAACAAAACTAGACATAGAATGTGAAGTGCAACAAATTTGAGAAGTTTTTTGTGTAAGTGTAACATTCTTATTTGGATGCAGAGAATCAGCAGAATGGTGGATTGAATGGAAAAGATAGAGTCCAACTTTGACACCACCAAGGACCAGAGGCCTCCTCAAAGAAAGGCCCTGCATCAAACAATAAGTCTCAGCAAATGTAAGAAGGACTTTGAATTGGCTGCATAATCTGTTGACTGAAATCAGATTGAATTTAAAATCTAGGACATAAAGTACTCTATATAGGGTCAAATCTGGGTGTATAGTTACTTGTCCTGCTAGAGTAACTCTTACCCTTTGTGAATTAAGAAGGTTAAC